CTGAAATGATTAATCTATAATAGATTATCTCACAAATCTGCAACAGAAGAACAGAGGATATGATTTGCTCAGGATTTGGCACACTGGCAATGGCATGTCACAGCAAAGGGTTTAATGAATAACATGAAACAGAAAAACAAACTGGGGAGAGGCTGGGCTATTGCAGAGGGACTTTAACATGGTGCAAGGGAACCCACCAACCCAACAGCTGCATTGACCACTGACCTCTTGACTTACCACTAATATTTGAGCAAATGATTTCCACTGGCTTTCCAGAAAGACTTCTCTAAGTGTAGATGTTCCTCACAGCCTGCCCTGAGCTTGCATTTCGTAAGTGCTAAGTACCTATAAAATAGAATGAGAGCTGTTTACCCTACCTTTGTGGTTGTCCTGTGGGGTCACAGCATTTGTGTTATGGAACTGCAGAGTAATTATTTGTGAAAAGTGTTGAATTCCTGGGGAAAGCACAAACAATTGGATGGCTATACCATGTACTTGTGCTACTGAGTGCTCCCCTTAATTTCTCAGAATAAAGGATGTTTGTGTGGAACCTCATGCATAACTTACTACATTGTGAAACATTTACCATGGATAAATTTCAGTCCATGGAATTTAGTTAAAAAGGGCAAGCATATTTTTTTCTGTGACATGACTACCCCTTCCACCAAACTTAGAAGCCAAAAGCAATCATAAAAAATCAGAGTAACATCCAAGTTCACAGGCACCATTTTCTGGTGACACTAAAAATGTATTTGCTAGTTAAAAAAAGTTATTGCCCTTTATTATAATTTTAAAAATTTATTAGTAACACTAGAAACTTCAGAAAAAATTCTCTCTCATCTATCTGACCTTGACCATCAACCTGAGAACGGGACACTGAAAAATGGAGGGCAGAGTAAAGCATGGTTGTACTGTTATTGCCATTCAATGACACCTTCCTTCTGTAAAATCTCCAATTCTCTTTTTACAGTATTTCCATATTTACTAAGTAACCTGGGATAAATATGTTGGTCTAACCTTGATTTCTGCTATTTTCAGAGAGATTTACCTGCCAGTCTAGGCTGTCTTTTCTGACATCAGAAGCTGAGCAAAGTTCTCTGTGTAGTAACAGGTTTTATTAGTCTGCAATGCCCCTTCCCTTGACCTGTTTGGACTTCTCTTTTGCTAGTGCTTCTGTCAATCTTTGGCTTTCTGTGTGGGGCCAGTGAAGGTCTCAGACTCAAGACACTTTGGCCAGAACAAAGACTATTAATTTATTTACGTGCACCATCAAGCAGCAATCCTCTTTACATTGTTGGCCAAAGGCAAAAGGGCAAGTCAGTGCTATGTCTCATGGAACTACAGGAGGATGGTGGCAGCAGGGTAGGTCTGAAAAGGCTGTGAGGCCACAGAACTGCCCCATGAGCCAGCACTATTGATAGACAGCTGTGACAGACAACATCAAGACACCTCTGTGCTGTAACCTCCAGCCCATCAAAAGGAGATGTTAATAGTTTCACATAGCTGGGGTTTTGTCCCAGAGGTTAAGTCTTTCTTTGGTTCTGTTGGTGTGTCTGGATGATGGCAACTTTTCCCCTTTAGTCTAAAGGCTCAACAGATGAAGCTTGCCAGGGTAGTGCTGATAATACCCAGCTTCTGCAGCAATGCACAACAGAAGAAAGTAAAACAATATAGGAAAATGGGGATGCTGCTGCCACAAATCCTGGGAAGCTTGAATTTAATACCTCCTTCTCCCTCTGTTGAGGCCACGTTCCTCCCTAGAGGCTTCAGAAAGTGGGTCTTTCCCTCACACTCATCCAAGGTCCAGGAAGGGGTTTCATTTCTCTCTGCTGGGAAGTGAGATAGATACGGGGAATTATGCAGGATTTTTGACCTGGTTGACAGCAAAGGCAGCATTAACAGCTAAAATTTAGACAGCAAAACAGTACTTCAAGCTTTTGGGGGATTGATGCAAGTGGTTCAGCTTGATGCAAATTTCTTTCCATTTATGAGCAATTTTATAAGCAAAAATATTGTCTCCATCTCTCCCTCTAGACACTCCTGACCACAAGCTGAGATCTCACCTACAGACCAGGCATGGTGGGATATCCAATGGCAGAGGTTGCCACACAGCTTGAATTTTACACACATATGAAATATATACAAAATATATAGGGTTTCAGATATCCAATGGGAAGTATCAAGGGCCTTAGCAGACACAGAGGGCTGAAACCATCTGCATTGAAACAGGAGTCAGGGCAGGTCTAGGTCAAGGGTTTGGCTCAGAAAGTAGAGAGCAGCAGGGTTTCATTCCTGGCTGTACAAAGATCTGAAACAACCCCCTGACCCATGCCTTACTTCCCATTCATGGCATTCCAACCATAGAAAACCTGTTGTACTTATGAGACTCCTCTCCTGCTTTGGGGTTATAGAAATGCCATGAAAACCTGCAGAAAGGGATATGGAAAACCAGCATGCAGATCCTGGTCCCAGTCAGCCTGAGAGCCTGTGCCCTATTCTACCACTGCTGCTTCCAGCTCAGTCAGGAGTGCAGCTGAGTGACAATGTGTCACCCTCTGCAGCTGACAGCCCTGAGTCCACAGAGTTCAGGGGTCTTGGCAGTATGGTATAAAATGTAAAGCAGTGGTCTTTTCTGTTGTTGTTTTTGTGAAAGCCAGTTCACAAAAACTGTTGGTTTTTTTGTAAAGCAGTTGGATGAACCACAATTTACTACCATGAACTCCTCTAGTCTGTGTTTTCCTAAAGGTAACAACCATAGATGCTGAGATGGCTGCACTTTGGACTAAACAAATGCTGTAACAGGATGTAGCTGTAACAAACCTGTCAAAGCTCATAAACAAATAATCATCCATTTAATCACTAATTATTAATCCAATTCTGATCTTCAGTTACTCAAAATGAACTGTTTAAAAAAAGTGATACATGTTAGTCAAAAGCAATTTAAAAACATGTGTCCAGAAGTAGTGCATTGGTTTACTGTGGAACAATCCATCTGTTATTACAAGAAAATTAGGACAGGAAAAATAAATCTTATTCCATGAAATCAGCCATATGAGAGAAGATTCCTTTTGAAACTGCCCCCACAAGCAGGACCACAGCCTGCACCATATTCCTGCCCCTCTAAAGCACTAGAATTACAAAATGGAAGGGCATGAAAAAAATTACAGATTTGCTACAGATATCTGCTGCTTAGTGCCTAAAAATTTAGTTAATGGAGCCTCTTAATCTGTGTATGGAAATGAGTCAACAGCAGAAGCACTTCTGACCTCCTTGAAGATTTTTAGCATCATCTCAACCCTTCTTAAAACACTTCCAAGCTAATAATATTGTATTCTTGGATTTTTTTTAATCAAAACTGTATATATTTCAAATTTGCCAAATGATTGGACAAAGCAGTGTTAAAAATTCAACTGCACTAATTACTAGCTGAGCAGCATAAAAACCTCTGAATAAATGTCAGTCTAGGAGATAAGCTCTTATCTTAATCTAATGACTCCACAGACTTAATTTGTCAGGCCAGCCTAGCTGATGAAAAACAGGTTTCTATTCTCCAGTGTTAGCAGCCACATCTTTCCAAATCTTTGAAGTTGGATAGTAATACCATCAGTGTCATCCTGCAAAAATCTTGTGACCAAGCCAATTCCATTGCTATTGTCCTGTTACACTAATTAAAGTTGCTTTACCCCCATCAGTGTGCAATAGGTGAAAATGAAGGCAATTTATTTTGAGATTTGTTATATTCTGGGATAATCATTCTTGCTTCCCACTGCCCACAACGATGTGTTAATATTTGCAGCTCTCTCTCATTATCAGAAAGCCAGGCTTTTTAGCAGGGCTCCACAGACAGCACAGTGCTATCCCAGGACAATTCCTGCAGTGCAGACAAAGCACACAAGTATGTGTGTGTGGTTTATTTGTGTAGAAAAGAGTAATTTTGAGCTCAGCAATGAATTTGATCTTAAGAGATGATTTTAGGTTTTTGAAATTTTTCCCTAAAGGAGAATTTGACATATTTAGAACTAAATGCACCAAATGTTCACAGTGCTTGGACAAAGTGGGTTAACAAATAGAAAAAAAAGAAATTAGCTGCAGCCAGTGTTTCCAGTCCCCCAGTCTTCAACTAACTCTTCTAATGGGAACTTGGTAGGCCTTTTGTGCAAAGTGCCCCATTTCAAAGGATATAATTTAAACATGGTACTCTTTATCCCAACCCCAAAACTTAGAGGGATATGCCTGGGTTTGAGGAGTTGGGAGATGATGTTATTATTCTGATGATGCCTAGGAAGATGACAAAGTAACAAAAACCTGATGAAAATAATAGTGCTAAGGTGCAATCTACTGAGGCAAATCCAAGAGGCCAGTGCTGCTCTGGACTCTATTGGCATTGATATTATGAACTTTATCAATATTAGATATATTGAGATATTTACCTGCTCTGTTGTATCTGGTTTTATAGCAGTGCAACTCCACTGGCTTCAGCAGCATTTCACACCATACAACCAGGAAAAGGGAGTGGAGAGTTAGCCACCTTTTTCTGTTATTACAAAATCCCTGATGCCCAGAGCTGATTGCTCTGAAGCCCACATTACTTCCCAGACTGGCAGGAGTGCAGGGTCAGAGCAGCTCTGTGTGGTTGCAGCACAGGTCATTCTGGGATTTGTTTTGGAATGCTTTAGAAGCATTTCACTGTTTGGCTGGGAACACCCTCTTGGATAGCACAGATTTAATCAATTAGATGACAAATGTCCATCCTCTTGGGTGAGAACACTGCCTACTCGCAAATTTAGTCTAAGTAGGACTGCAAGGGGACCACACAGGTCATGTGCTGGCACAGCTACAAAAGTATTCAGGAGCTGGTCCATATACATTTTCTTTTCAAAGGCTCATGTGTGAGCATGGACAGCCAGTTTAGCATCTGAGTCATCCTGGCTGTGATGTGAGTTGGGTGCCAATACTGCAGCAGCCAAAGCCTCCCAGCCCGTGCATGCAGGCCATGCTGCCTGGATGGGCTTCACCTGTAGCAGGGCAGATCCTCAGCAGGGACAACACAGAGGCTGAGAAGGGTGGGAAGCTTCATAAGCTGCAAAAACCTTTAAATCAGAAACTGTAATTACCCCAGCTAATTGAGTTCTGCATCTGATGTATAAAATGGCCTCTTCTAACATTTTAGCTAACACATTATTGTTTATGGCATCTTCCTCTTAGTTGAGAACCCTCATACATCTTTCTTCCTGTTTTACCCACAGCCCTGCAGAGGAGCAGAGTTTGCAGAGTAGCACCAGGTGAAGTGGTCATGGTCCCTAATGTGACCCAGAACGACAGGGCTGCTGAATAAATTAGAGGCAGATTTCCACAGATATTTGAGCTCCCCTGAACACAGATCAGTACCTACTTCAGCTTTTCAAAGCTTCTAGGCTCCATGTTGTCATTGGCAGTTGAAAGCATAAGGGTTTTTGAAAAAAACCCAGAGCCTGAAACATATTTAAGCACTGCTGTCTACTGTTTCCTTGGATCAAGACAACTGAACTCTTTGAAAGCACTAATAATAACAGCAATAATAAACATTTGATGCATGGTCTGCAAGCTTGAGGCCTCATCTGATCAAAGCTGAATTTATATCCATTGATTTAATCATGGAAGTGATGGTTCACTCTGAACATGCCAAATTCATTTATGTTAGGGCTATGGCCTGGAATAGCAGTTTTTTAGTAAGAATTAATGGCTCCTTATTTCTCCTGCTCTGAGTCACAGTTTGAATCTACAGGCCATTCCCAACACAGCTGAAACAGAAAATGAACACATTGAAGTGAAATTTTCAAAGTGATATTTGAACCCCTTCTCTCTGATGAAATCCCACCTATTGATCCAGTCAGCCTCCTCAGGTCCATCCTGCAAAGTCTCCTTGACCAGCTTATTACAACAATTCTTCAGGTGCACTGTGTGGTCTTTCATTAGAGGACAGGTGCCAACTAATCAAATTGAAAAAAATGAAAATTCCCACAGATTAAATCCTTGCACTGGTGAAAGATATGGCAAAATTCCCTTGGAAGCCAGTGACTGCTTGTCTCTTAAGACATTATCTCAAGTCTGAATTGCCATTGGAATACTGACTTCCTGATTTATGCAATGAGTTTACTTGGAATTAACAAATTTATTGCCCTTTCCTCAGCAGCTGGAGCAGTGAAGGGGCTGGCTCACACAGGAACCATTCCCTAGGGGTGCTGTAGTGGGATCCAGCTGGCTTGGGTCAGGCTGCCCATGCTTCAGGAGACTATGTGCTTTCATGGCTCCCTTTGCTCCTTCTATACCCTTCAACACTTGCTCCTGCCATCCTGCTACAAGAAAAGTTTACCTGCTCTGGCCTGCAAAGGAGCCTGCTGTTTTTGGACTGCAGCCTTTAAGAACAACTTTGGGTGCTAAGGAAAAACAAATCATTCTGAAAGAACAAAATATTTTTCCTTTATGGAAAAATATTGTGACTCCCAATCACAGGGCAGTGGATCCAGATCAATTTCCTAGCAAAGAGGAATAACTCTAATCTAAACGTAAAAAGGGGTCTGTCATGGTGAGATACAAATGTAGGGGTAGCTTTCAGATTGGTCTTGATGAAGTATTATTGCTGACAAGCCAATAATGAGCTAAGGCCCATAGTGAGGCTGCAACAGGCTGGGGCCACTTGGCTTGACTAAATGAAGTCCAAATGCTGGCACCACAGCTGGAGGCAGGACAAGCAGAGTCAGAAGGAGCAGGACTTCTTTCTTGATTTGCAACAAGAATGTGACTCTTGGGAATGTCGTGTGCAGAGACAGGAGTTGGACTTGATGATCCTTTCAACCCAGCAGATTCTGTGATTCTCTGATTTTGGCCTTGGTAAGTGCATACTGATGATTTTCCATTTCTGTTCCAAAGGGAATCTCCAACCACTCCCAAGTGCCAATTTCCCGTTATGGACTCAGTTTCCCTACACTCTTTGGGAGAAAAGGCAGATAATAAAGGGAGCAGTAGAGCTACACTGATTCTTAGGACTGACAGTAAAGGTACCCAGTTAACAGACTGAGTGGGGGGACTCAGATTTGCTTGCAGAATCCCATGTGAATTGCACTATTCTTCCAATCAAAGTGATTGTGAGAAATTCTGATTTTCAATTCAATTTTTTTTGCATATGGGAAAGAGGAAGAAACAGCCTTTGTGCAATGACTGTTTAAAAATACTTCAAAAGAACTTGAATCAGTTCATGGCTGCACTATATACAAATTAAAATAATTGATTTTTTGGCAGCCTTTTAAGAGATCTATAAATTAAAGGGATTTCTGATACATTTTGGGAGACTTTATTTCATGTCGGCTTTCAGAGTGCCCTCCCTCCCAGAGCTGAAAGTCAGACACAAAACCAGACAGAGCCTCTCATTTGCTCTGCCCTCCTGATTCAGGAGTCAGTGGATCTCCTTCACCAGTGATCATGGTTGGGCATGGTGGGTCCTGGATCCCTGCCAGCCTTGCA